TATCTTGCAGTTTAAGATTCCTTATCGACAATCTTTGGGTCCGTAACACATCCAGAGGGAGCGTCTTCAGCCTCATCGCCTGACTGCAGAGTGCTGAAAACAGAGGAGCTGGACTCTCTCTGAAATACTCTCTGACTCTTCTCCTTGCTGCTCAGACGTTAACAGCACCCGACAAGGGAAAGTAAAGACAAACAAACACTGTTCTAGTGTGTTTTTGTCATGCAGAGGAGCTGACGGGCACAAGGGGAAAAGCAAAGTGACAGGTTGGCAGACTGCGAAAGCCCTCGCACTCACACTGGGTCACCATGCCAGACGAGTCCCGAGGTATCCAGGACGGGGGGAGGCCTGGAGCAGAAGCTTCGCAGCTGTCCTTGGTGCCAAATATTGTTGTCGTCTCCAACGACGGGGAGGGCAAAGTCAACGGGCGCAACATCATTGAGCTGGAGGACTTCACAGACAACTTAAAGCGCTCTACTGAAAGCAGAAATGGTAGCACAGGCAGCCTCGTCATCGGAGGCGAGTCAGGACTTTCCGTAGAGGTGGGAGTGGCCAAGACTACACAGGCCCCCGAACCAAACAAAGCCAACTCTTTGGTGAAGGGAGCAGGTGCAGATCGTGATAAGCTACAAAGTGACAGCAGGGCTTCGATGCAAAAGAACAGCTGCAGTGATTCGGACTACGGCAGCTCAAAATCCCTTCCCGGTTACGGCGGCGCGAGTTTAAGCGCTGATTCCTGTGACGAAGAGCTGTCTGAGCTCGATGGAAACGTATTCGAAAAGGCTAGCCGGATCTCTCCCATCAATCTGTCTGAATCCAGCTTGAACACCTCTCAGCTTGAGCAAACCCCTAAAAACAGTCATGACAACTATGGCATTGATTCTAAAACTGACGTGACTACTAAAGCAAAAACAAAAAAATCACTGAGTGGAAGCTCGCCAGAATTACCCAGTGTTTCCCCCAGGGCCAGCCAATCCGGGGACAGCATCGACATCAGGTGGGCCAACGAAGACGACGACCGACGAAGCAACCTGTCCAGGCAGACTGTGATAGAGGGCGTGTGCTGCTGCTATCAGGCCACCCACAGGGCTTGTCTGCAGTGCGTGGAGGAGACTCCGTTAATGGTGTCTGGACTGGTGCTGACATTGGTCTTCAGTTTGGTCATTATCATCGTCCTCGCCGCCACAAGGGTGAGAATTAAAGTGAACACGAACCAGCCATGCTTCAGTTTGGGAAATGCACCCCATTGAGCACCAGAGGTCCATTTCCTGGTCCCTTTATGTCTGATTTTGATGCAAGAGGGAAGTAGATGTCCACATCACACACAGTTGCTGTTTCCAAAATAAAAGCACGTGGATTTGTAGTTTCTTGAGTTCAAAATTTGATTGAAATTGTAGATCAGACAACATAATCAGTATCTTATTCTTATCGTATTCAGAGTTTTTTCTAGTTTTCGCTATGTAACTTTCCACTGTCCACTTTCTGCTGTAGCAGAACAAATTTCCCACGTGTGGGACTAATAAAGGTTATCTTATCTTATCTTATCTTATCTTATCTTATCTTATCTTATCTTATCTTATCTTATCTTATCTTATAACATCCACTCCAGATACATAGACCAAAACGCAGAGTAGCCTCATTGATGGCTATTTTAGTCCAAGTTTCCCTGGGCAAGATACTTCACCCCAAAATGCATCCATCGAGGTGTGATAGGCTGAGAGATTTAAAGTTCTTAGAGTTCAGTAAACAGTAAAGAGCTCTATAACTGTGTGTGTGTGAATCTGACTTCTGCTGCGCAGATGGTTGCCAGTAGGTGGCCTGTAACTGAGACCTAAAGCAGCAAAACATAGCCAGCATATAGAGTCAGATAAGTGCAAGTCACGTAGATGCCAAAGAATTAAAAGAAAAGATCAGAACTACCACTTTTGAGATTATCAACATGAGCGTAAGCTAAGGAGAAATCTTACAGCCAGCAGCACCAAGAAAATGGAGGATTAAACCTGTTTCACCAAAACGCAACAGCATTCCTGTCGCACTTCACTTAGACCACATGACTTCTTACAATTGCAAGTCACTGTTGTACATGAAAGCCGTACATACAAGTATTACCTGCCTTTGAAAAGTCTGTTTTAAGTACTGTTTTCTGTCTCTAAAAAAGGGTGATCTGTAAGAACCGGTTGCTATCGTATCAGACGAAAAAATAAAATGTCAAATTATCTAAAAAGCTAATTTTTTTTTAATCATTTTAAGATAAGATCAGATAAGTTAAGATATCCTGTATTGGTCCCATAAATGATAGGTAGATAGGTACATTCATATCATTACAGCAGT